AATGGCAGCCGAGAAGATCTTGTAATAAGCACAATAGACATCTAGTGATGTAGAGTAAAGCAATATTCAGACCATCAAGTTGCCCCAAATGGCAGTGGCTGGTTTCAGGCACAACAGTCTACTAATGGCATCTTGAACTGATGAATTTACCACCATTATGAGAGAAGGACCAAATTGTGTTAGCTGCCTTCAATCCTGGGTATTTCTCAAGGGAAGAAGAAACAGCACAGCAGGGGAGTGGAAGAAAAAGATTACTGTAGCCAAAGCAGATCGGAGCCTTGCAAATAAAGAGGAATTTAGTTGTTTCTGTTTGATTACTCTCAAATGGGCAATTCTTTCAGGATATTTTATCGACATCTGCACCACCTATTTTCTGGAAAGCACTTAAGGAAGGTTTTTAAAAGGACTGGGACACCAGACACATACGAAAATTAACCCATAAGTAATTAATGCACTGCAAAATACGTAGCTATCTTGTCTTAAAAGAGAGAAGTTGATTATATTCCAAGAGAGTTCATAATATCATGAATGTTGCTAACAGCTGAAAGCAGTCTATTCTTAGACAGGAACAGGGACAACAGTTCATATTTCTATAAGGAAGGGAAAAAGAGCCAGTTAATTATCATGATTAGAGTGTCTATGTTCATACAACTTATTAATCAATGGTTAGGTGAGCTACAATTTAAATTAATCCAGCTGTCTATGTTTGAAGAAGTCTCAGAACTATCAACTTGTCATGCAGGTTTATTTCCAACACACATAAACCCAAAAACTAACCAATCATTATTTTAGCCACTTGTAATATACAAACTCCTCCAAAATAAAACCAGGGAAATCTAGGCTGAATTTCCCATCCAGCCACAAAGCTTATTGAATACATCCACAATACAACTAATGAAGCCAGGTACAAATGTAGCAGTTAATTTGCATGATGTACAAATACCAGTTTTAATTTGAGGTTCAGCTTTTGAGAATTGCTAATTTATTGGTTATGATTCACAATATCTGAACCCAAGTCAGTGGTACCGTAGTCAAATATCGTGATTCAGAAAACCACACTATGAACTACATAGCTGATTTCATTGCTATTTTATGAATGCAAAATATTATTAGCTTGGTCTATCCATCACGTTAACTGATCATATCACAACTGATAAGGTTTGATAGAATAATAAAATTTCTTTGCCCAGTGCATGAACCAAGGTTATATGTTTCAGGGATAACTGCTTACTCTTTTAAATTTCAGAGCTACAGCCAGAGAGATTATGCTTTTACATAAAAAATAGTGTGTGTCTTTGACCTGGTGCACAAGCTAACAGTTATTGGCTGGTGATCATTACAATCAGTGTAGCTGTCAGTGAACTAGTCAATTGATTGGACTTATAGATACTATAGAGTTTAGGTGTCCAACCTTTTGGCTTACCTGAGCTGCACTGAGTGAAGAATTGTTTTGTGCCATATATAAAATATATAATTAATGTATACAATGATAATAATGATAATGATAATGGTGATAATAATACTAATACCATACCAAGAAGATACTTGGTTGATACCTAGGATGCTGGCAGCAACCTGTATCAATCATCAGTGCCAGTCAATGATATTTGTGATACATTTTTAAATGTTCAGTTGACTGAGTTTCATGTTTAATGAATAAAAGAGATAATAATCATAATCATAATAATAAAAAAAAACTTGTGGGGCCACGTTGCTAGTGATGGCTAACCTTTTTGGCACTGAGTACCCAAAATGCATGCACATCCCCCGCGCATGTGCCCTGGGTCACCCATGCTAGTCAGAATTTAATTTTAATTTAGTTTAATTTTAACAATTTCTTCAGTACACAAAATCATGCTTGGCAATATTGATAGAAATAGAAGGGGAAGACAACTGATCAAGTGGATGGATGGAATCAAAGAGATGGCTTGGCATGTCCTTGGAAAAGAGTTATTATAAAGGATAGGTCAGGATGGCAAGCATTTTTGTTTAAGCAATTATTATGAGTCAAACAACTCCTAACTAAACAAAGAAACTGTTTATAGAAAGAGAAAATACAATATAGCCTACACAATAAAGTTTAGCCCTGGTTTATGGCTCCTTTCCGAAAGCTTGGAAAGGAGAAAAAAACAAACAAGGATGCTTTTAAAATGGAAAAATCTGGGATCTTAATAATCATTTTATCCACCAAAGGAAAACTCTTTTAAAAGCCCTGGCAATGCCCAGAAGGTAATTATCTCATAACGCAATACACTCCCTCCCTGAGCCCCTTTATTCTTTAGGAGCCGTGGCAAGTCCAAACATCCACATGTCTTCGGTACCCTCCACCTAGCTAGAGTTTGCTGACCTCACTTCTGACTTGCCATTTGTGCATTTCATGTCTTTGCTCCAAGGACGCAAAGGGGCTAGATCAGCACAATTGTGCCCTTACTTGAAAACAGAGGTCTTTGAGGCAGCAATTGTTCCTGCCTTCAGTCAGTCCCTCTAAAAAGGAAGAGGGAAGGGAAGCACCTTGTGTAGAGGCATGTCACCTCACCTGGCTATTGCAAGTCAGATGGCTATCTGGGGTGACTTCTTGTCAGACAACTTTTCCCTAACCCTTTTAAAAAGGTTAGCATTTGGAAGGCCCTAAGCAGTTCCCTGGAGCTACAGAAGGGATTTTGGCAGCATCAGGAATTATGTCCACAAATCTGCTTGGAAAATAAAGAGACCTACAGATAAGAGTCCGCAAAAGAAGACTGAACAAACAAATTGTATCAAATCCTGCTTTGCATATTCGCAACTGCTGGATTCACTGCAACACCATAAATTATCAAACCTCGTTATGGCTCAGCATGATGTGAAACTCCAGGCACAGAGGACTCTGGCTCCAGTGGAGAAGCCAGCTAAAAGACATCTGGCAGGTTGCTTAGAAGCATAAACTGTGGAAGACCTCATTCCCATCTTCTGAGGACGTAAACCTGATCGAAATCAGCACAGAATCAAGTTTCACAACAAGAAGAGCAAAGAAGGCACCAACCAAAAGGGAAGGGGAGGGAGATAGCTTACTAGCCCAGCCGATGAGCTTCAAATTTCACTTTTTTCCTTCTTGGGCGACATAAAACCTTGGGGAAATAATTAACACTGTCAAACAAAATGAGTGGGGAAACAGTTTCCTCACAATCTCCAAGCACAAAGAAATAGGTCTAGGAATGGGATATTATATATATGTGTGTGTGTGTGTGTGTGTGTGTATAAATAAATAAATAAATAAATAAATAAATAAATAAATAAACAAACAAACAAACAAACAAATAAATAAATAAATAAAAGGGAAGTATATAATTAAAGGGAAGTATATAACGGATGCTGGATCTACACAGGCAGCTTCCTAGGAAGAAACAGAATTTTCCACCTCTGTTAAGGAGAAGATAGGCTGAAGACCTAGAGTAAAGGCCTTCCTTCTGTCAAAGGTGGACCCAAAATACTAGGCTGGTCAGGAGGGAATAAGGCTATGTTGCAGAGCATGGCAATGAGGTGCTGGGAACAAAGCACCAGTGGGTACAAAGTGTTTAATTTTTGCAGAAAGAGGGCACATCTTGGACAAAAGCACTAGACCCAAGAAGATCTGAGCTACAAAGAAAGCTTGAGGATTAGGGAGAGGAAGATTTGAGAAAGTCTGGGGAAGCTGTGCCCTTAGGCACAGTTTTTTTTAAAAGATTACAAGAAACCAGAGCTGAAAATTGAGGGGAGGGGGTGAATATCTTGGAGACACATTGTGAGAGAAGATGGGGAGAAAATTATGTCTAAAGGATCAAACAACCTTTTAGTTTGCCGTCAACAATCCCTTCTTTGAATCCAGAAAGTAAGAAGCAGAAACGTGGAGAAGAAAAGCCCAAGGTTGCTGGGAGTGGGAGACTGGAAAGAAAGGGGCTGCTGAAGGTAAGCGCCATGTTTGTTAGGAATGAAAGCCAGGCAAGGACAGAGGGCAAGGGAGGGGGAAGAGGGGAGAAAGGCAGACAAGAGGGGAGGGAAACAGGAAGAGCAAGAAAGAGGCAAGGTGTTAGATTGAGGCAAATTGCTCTGGTGGGAATGAAACAAAGCCAGAGCGGGAGGTTAGAAAGCAGCAGGGCAGAAGGATGGTGGCTGGGAGGCCTAGGAATTGAGGCCCAAGGACACAGTTTGGGAAAGCAGCATAAGAAGCAAACCAGGTGCCTTCCTTGGAGCCATGTTTTTTTTTTTTTTAACCTTTGCCAGGGCCCCAAATTCCATAAGTAGCCTTCAGGATTGTGCTGCTTGTACTCCATCCAACAATACAGGAAGGATCGTAAAGATGTCCTGCACTGCAGGGATGTTGTGAGGTTTACCAAGAATATATAGGAAGCACTTTGAAATCCAAAAGGCAGAGAAAGAGATGGCATCAGCAAAGGAGGATGATCCCTCCAAGGAAACGCAGAAATCAAGTGGTAGGGAAGGTACCAGAAGCAATGGAAGGGGATGTAAACTGAAGGGAAGTGTGGAATTTACTAAACTCAGAAGAGGATGGGGCTCATGCCCAGTCTCACTACATGACTCTATCTGCTAACTCTGCTGGCCATTTCAGATCCTGTTGGCTTTTTGTAAGGCCTTAAAGCTTGGTGGTTGCCCCTGGAAGTTAAGCAGACCCCCGAAGTTGGTTTGTCTAATCTAGCAGTGGAATGATTTTAGATCTCCTACGTACAGTACATTGCTACTGTTATTTTACACTCTGTTCTGTTTTGAACCTTCGGTTTGCTGCCTAAAGTCATTGTCACGGAGGGGGGGGGCATAATTTGTTTAAAGCGTATTTGAAGAGAGATCCTGAACATGAGCAGCGAGTTTCCTTTCTCGAAGGAATTTACGAGGGGAATGTCCAGAAACATAAGTTGCTCTGCTTCCCGCCATGCCCCCCCCCCACTCCTCAGCCTCTCCCCTTTGGTGGAAGTTAAAAGGCTCCCGGGGGTGGGGGGGAAGCCGTTCCCGCGAACACGCGGCTCTCTCACCTTTTGGACTGCGGCTCCGCGGGGTTGCGATCCCGTTGCCGCCGGTTTTTGAACCAGTTGCTGACCTGCGTGAGGGAGAGGCCGGTGATCTTGGCCAAGTTGCGCTTCTCGGCCGGGGAAGGGTAGCGGTTCTGCTTGTAGAGCTCCTTGAGGGCATTGCGCGATTTCTCCTTAAAACAGTAGACCGTCTCCTCGCCGTCCCAGATGGTGCGGGGCAGCGGGAACTTCCTGCGCAGGCGGTACTTGTCGACGGCGCCCAGGGGTCGGCCGCGGGCCCTCTCCGCCTCGGTGTAGCGCGCCTTGTACCAGAGTTCCTGCAGGAGAGGGTGGTTGGCGGCGTCGAAGCTATGGCTTTCCAAAATCCCGTAGAGCTCGGCGTAGAGTCCCTGGTGGAAAGCCACCAACGCCCGGGCTTTCAGCAGGCTCTCGTTGCCACGTAGCAGGTCGCTCTGGGGCAGGGACCACAAGAACCGGGCCAGGCGGTCTAGGTTCCCGCCTTGCTGCAAAGCCTCGCAGACGCAAGCGACGTGGTCCGGGGAGAAAGCGAGCAGAGCCTGGGGCGAGGAAGAAGACGACGACGACGAGGACCGAGGCGAAGGCGAGGACAAGGGAGACGCGGCGGGATTCCGCACCAAAAGTTCCGAGTGGAGTAGAACTTGACCCGCAACCCTACCGGCTGCTGCTGCTGCTGCTTCCTCCTCCTCCTCCTCGTCCTCCTCTTCCCTGGCTTTTTCCTTCCTAGCAAAAGGAGCTGCTGCCACCGCCGCTGCAAGACGAGAAGGCGGTGCAGACGTGGGAGCCGAACCGCCCGAGGTTACCTTCTCGGTCGTCCCGCCGCAGAACATTTCCAGGACGTTTTCTTGCTTGATCGTCGCCACCACGCTGGGAATCGCGGTGGTGGGAGAGACAGAAGACATCTCCCCCCCCACCCCGCCGGTCTGGGTTTGGTGTTAGGTGGAGGGGCTTCTCCCCCGGCTTTCTCCCCCCCTTTTCCCCTTCCTTTACACTCCCCCCTCCTCGGAAAGTGCTCACACCCCCCTCCTGCTGCTGCTGCCGCCGCCGCTCCTCCTCCTCCTCTTCCCGGACCGCCACCCGGCTGGCGTTTTAACTGATCAAGTTTCCCCTCCGCCACGTAGTAACCATTAAGCCAGCTTGTTCTAGCAAAGCTCGTGTAAACGGATCGCAGTTTCTTCTCCCCTCCCCCCCCCAAGCCGATCTCCTCTCCCCCTCCTTTTCGTTCGTTCTTTCGTTCCTTCTTTCCCTCCCCAACGTGACTCCTCAGCGCTTCTCTCTCCTGCTACATATTCTTAATAGCAGAAGCAGTCGGCTGGATTCGGGAGGGCTCGCTGATTGGTCGACTCCTATAGGGGGGCGGAGGATCCGGTGTTTCTATAGAAACCGTCAATCAACTCCTCCCTCTCCCTCGGCTTTAAGCTCGGCACGACTTCCTCCTCTAAATGTGAAATACCTCTACCTGGAGGCTTTATGCCGCGTTTTGATTTGGCTGCGTGCTCTCGTTTCTCCCCCCCCCCCGCTCTTGTTGCCAAACAAAATATTACAACTGATATCTTAAGCTGGTTTGTGTGGGCAATTTTGTTTTTGCACTTTGCAAGCGAGGCATTCAAACGCGCGCGCGCACGATCCAACTTTTGGAATTTCCAAATGAATTAACTGTACTTAAGGTTGGGCACTTCTGAATGGAGAGCCGGTGTCGGCAGCAATGGAGTAGGGAGAGCAACTTTAGGCTGCACCAGAGACACGATACGTGTTAATCAGCGGATTAAGGCTGCAAGGCCGGTACTGAGTTTCAATTAACCCACTGGGACTTGCAGAAGTTTGAAAGTTTGAGCGAGTTTACTTTGGAAAGAAACCAGCTCGATTTATTCACGCCATGATTGCAATAATTTGTATACTTGTCTGAGTTCAGTGGAACTTCAGATTGAACTGCAGCCTTAAGCACGCGCTTTACTGAACTCAGTGAGACTCATTTGTAAATGCCTACACTTGGATCTGTTGCTTTTGTTACTTAAAACCAAAAAGGATTCTTCTGCCCCTCCCTCCCCAAAACAAGACATATTTGGCAGATAACACTCAGAGGTCTCTCAGTCCTGGAAGACAAGGATCCTAACTGGAAGGAAGGAACTTAACTCATTGGGATTTATCTCTAATTACTTTGCCTTTGTGCTTAAGGATCACAATGCAGTTTTAAAAAGTACTGTATTCATTTCCATAACAGTTGTATGAAGAAATGTAATGGGTATATACCCATTTTACAGTTGTCAACTGATGATGGAGAAAGATTTGTCAAGGGCAGTTGCTTTTTCTGCACTTTTTTTTAAAACCTTAGAGCAAGCTTAACTGGCTGCTGCTATTAACTTTTCTTTAGATGCAAATTCTTCTGAGTTCAGTTATGCTTACTTCCAGGCCAGCATTTGACAGAATTATAACTTTAATTTCTCAGAAATATTTATAGTTTATAGGGCCAGAGCCACAGGAGTTCAATCTTTTTGCTTTCTTTTAACCCATGCCTTTGTTTTGTAAACAAAAAAACTGAAAGCTCTTCAGTTATAAATCCTAATACTGGCCATGATGTACAGGGCCTAGAACAAAGTTAGCATTAAACAAGCATAGGTGATAGCTACATATGAGTGAATGATAAAGAAATAATCAAGTATGAACAAAAGCATGTCCTGATATATTGGAACAGTAACTTACTACAGAACAAATATACTCCAAAGAGTGGTAGGATAGATTAACTTTCCACAGCTGGTTTTCTGGATAAACATTCCCAGAAGTCTGGGTGAAAATTGAAATCCAATATACCCAGAAGGCTCATGGGTATAAAAGGTGTAGGGTTGCTGGACTGTTTTAAATAAATATTTTATGTTCAGACATCTGAATACACAATTAATTAAAAATACATGACAATAACAAATCAATAAGATTGAGCACAATCTAGTCAAAGTACACTTTGTGATTGGATTCACATAACACACTTAACTAGGGTGAATAAAGACAAATCCCTCCAAAGTAATGAAAATAATTTGGCTGGGGTTGGGGTTTTGGTGCTTTATACTATAGTCTGCAAACTCAGCCCAGTTAGTTAGTGCCTGGTCTGATATTGTTGTACCAAACTTCCAAAACAGGACATAATAACAAAACTAAGCATATTGTATTGAACTAAGTAGCCATATGCATGTTTATTTAGATCAGGCCCTGTTCAGTTTAACATTTATTTCCAAAGGGAATGTACATGAGATTGCAGTCAAAAAGTGTCATTGATGCAGTCTATTCAGAGTGACTGAATAGTCACTCCTACTCCCAACAGGGTTGCAGTTCAATTGGCAATAGAGCTCAAGTAATATAAGGGCATTTCTGACTAGACAAGTTAAGAAGGTAAACATTGTCAAAATGCTTACTTTGGGTGGTTAGCTTTTACCAGGAAATTATCAATTACATTTTACTGTAAATTTCATCATTAATTGACAAAAGCAAACATTTCACCATTCAGTAGAATCAACAACTAATGGTAAAATCCTAATTGCTCTTCTAGGAAGGAGCAAGAAGACAGATGGGAAAGATATAAACAAAGATTGTCTCGATACCAGAAAGAGGACTTCAGAGCAGCCTGTCTGAAAATGATGATGTAACTCCAGCTTTCTGGAGGATGCTGGGTAGAAGGACAGCTTTTAGAGTAGAATGGAGTAGAGTGGGATGAGATGAGATGATTGTTAATTTTACTATACTCTCTGGGGTCAATTCTCAGAAAATTTTAAATTCTGAAATGAATAATGCTAAGGATGTTGGCTTGAAATCAATTCTCCTGAACTTACTGAATTTTAGGCTGAAATCTTGCCAAGTTCTTTGGAATAAATTTACTTTGGCTCTCCTGATGCTATCCTGCCTGCACTCTACCAAAAGTTTGTCTGTTTTCAGTGGAATTACAGCTCACTTTTATGTAGGTTTGCTCTGTGGGAAGTCCCACTGATTCCAAAGTTTGCATACACAGATCAATGTATTTACCAGCTAACAAAGTTTCCAAGCCTGCTGCTTTCTACATAGTCTGGTCTATGGACATTTTTCAGCTGCTGTACTGTAGCCATTTTTAACTATGGATGATGGCCTTCATGGTTCAATACATCAGGAAGGTACCAGCCTGAGGAAGCCTAAGACAGAAAATGGAGATTGGCTCTATATTACAAGAGAGTAATTGTAGGGCTCTTTATTTAGGTGTAAATCCAATTAAGTCCATTGGATTTACTTCTGAGTAGGTGCAGGCAAGGTTCTGATTCATCCAGAAGATGTTCTTGACAGATTTCTACAGGAACAACAGAAAATGAAAAGTCTGATACAGCCTTTTTTTTTTCATGGGTTCTTTCCTATGGGGCTATTTCTGCAGTCTTTATATGACATCAAGTATTATCTTTGTTTTAGAACAGTTAGGAAGACCTATATTTAGTCCACCTCAGCTTCACAGACTAGGACATGGGAATCAATAGATACAAATCTTCCTCTTCCACTGTTGGAATAGGCAACAATATTCCACAAGCAACACTACTGTATATGCTATATGAAGGCACATCCCATTTGATTTACTTGGACTTGCCTCTGGGGAAACATCAGAACATACACATCGGAGAATGCTATGTTAAGGTATGTAATTATTTCAAAGCAACTTTTTAGATCTAACTCATCAATTTGGGGGGAGGGGGAATCTTAATCTGCCACATCTGGTTTAATGCAGGTGTTTTGAGCACAGTTGCCAAGTCATACAGCTTTTGCAGCTCTTCAGAAGAGCAATAATCTGAACTGGGACTTCGCGGTCTTTACTATTTATGAGGCTGAGGTCAGAGCTGGCATTTTCTCGATTTAGGTAGAATTATAGATTGAATTATATTCATAAGCTGCCCAGTGTCTCTTAGCAGTGAGACAGGTGGCAATAAATTTAATCTTTTTCACGCGGCATTCACCATTTTTTTTAGGAAATCAGAATCAAGATGGAAAGCTTTGAATTGTGTTTCTCTCTGTAAACGGAAACGCTTTTCTTTCAAGGGTGACCCGGGTGGGTTGAATCCATTATGGGGGTTTAACAAGCTGCATTTGCACTTCTCAACGGATTTTGGAGAAGGTCCTCGCAATCGGGCGTGAGGAAATAGGGATCGGAACAGAATCCCATTGCCTACCTCCTGATCAGAAAGGGATCGCCTTCACACGAGCTGGGTACAATGTTAGCCTGCCTTCGCATTCCACGTTAATGGTTTAATCAGCCCCGGATCACATGTTATCATACAGAGGTCGGATGGAAACATCCCACTTTTGAGATGTGGCTACAAACCAGTTCAGTAGAAGCCTGTTGTAATGATCACCCGCGTATTCCAGGGTCCTTTGTATCTACGTCGTACATAACAGGCAAGCCTAGCATTTGTAATACCTCCGTAACGTGACCGGAGTGATCTTCTAACCTGCCTGGAGATGTCTCTCCCAGCACGGCTGATTCTCTTTGGACCCGGAAAACAAAATTAAACCCGAGTCAGTGGTTTTGGATAAACCCTTTTACGTAATGTTTACTCCAATTTAGAGCGGAACGGTTGCTCAGAAGTAACCGGGATTGACGGAGACGAGTTTCCTTTTCCACACGTCTGGCTCCGGGGATGTTGAACGGAAATGGATGGAGGGGTAGTAGAATGGCTCAGTCACTGCCAGGCACTTGCAGGCAGCCAAATGCCCGGTTTACATCTGGGAAATTAGATCTGGGAACCACAGGCAAATACAGTCAAGGCAGCCGGAACCAGCGACTTGGTACTTAGGCATACCCCTGCCTCGGGCTTTCAGCCTTAAGGCAATAAAAGAAGAGCCGCTTTGGGACTGCTAGAGGTTCAGAGGCTGGAACTTCTCAGGGTACTAGTATTTGCCCACCAGAGGGGCAGGTGGTAGGGGGCTGCTGTCTTCAGTACATACTGAGTTAGAGTAAGCCCTCAATGGCAGCAAGGAAATACAGATAATTTTGCTGTTCCTTTCAGCGGCCATCCGGAGTACAGCGCAATTTATGTGGCTAGTTTTTGTACATGCTCGAGTCCGGGCATCGGAACAACTGTGGTAAGGGACAGAGCGGGGGGATGGGCGTCTGAAACTAGAAATCTACGTCCGCCTCGGTCCCGGAACGCCTCCACTCGAATTTGCCCCAACAGGCACTGGCTGACGGAATCGCAATCTATACGATTCTCTTATTAGAGCTAGGCAGCCCTAGACACAATCGTCGACAATGACTTGGATGTCGGTGCGATGGACAGCTGTCTCTAAACTTTTATTTATATTTATTTGTATGTGTATTGTATACATATATGTATGTATGTACGTATACATACATATACACTGTACATATACACACTACACACATATATAGACATAGACACATACATAGACACATGCACACATATGTATATGTATGCATATGTATATATACACAATTTTAGCCTACTGTAATTTTGAAATTTTGTAATTTTGTCATAATTTTGACTTTGTGACCATATCCCTAATTTATCAGATCAGTTATATGTCTATTTCTGTACATCGTCCTAATGTCAAGACAATTGGTTAAATTCACAACATCTGCTAAACCCAAACCAAACCTATATGGTGCACCATTCCATAGAAATACAAGCTTATTGTACAGTCAAATGTTATGTCAGAAGCCACCTCATAAATTCAAAAAGAAAACTCAAATTTGATAGATGATGCATCTTAAATGGGTACACTTTTCAATTAGATTTATTTCAATGGAAACTGGTTGGGCTGTAAGATCCTTTGCTTTTAAGAAGAGTTCCAGAATATTGGAATGCGTTAGACTTAATGCTGTGGGTGACCCTTTGACTCAATGGCCCCAAGCACATCTATACACCAATCTTCCATTCGCCTGACCGCAAGAGAGACTCACAGCTGTATTAACTAACTGGGGTTTCAGAGATATAAGCTTGCACAGTGAGAATCTTCAGGAATCCCTGATCAGCTTCTTTCAATCAAGCTGCACTATATAGAGGTGACATGATAGCAGTATTCCAGTACTTGAGGGGTTGCCACAAAGAAGAGGGGGTCAAATTATTCTCCAAAGCACCGGAGGGCAGGACAAGAAACAATGGTTGGAACTAATCAAAGAGGAGACAATTAACCAGTGGAATAGCTTGCCTTCAGAAATCGTGGGTGCCCCATCACTGGAGGTTTTTAAGAAGAGACTAGAGGGGTGTCAAACTGGTGGCCCGTGGGCCAGATGCATCATGCACATCCGCAAAGACAAAAAATGTGACATCACATGACAGGATCGAGTTTGACCAGTCACTTGTCTGAAATGGTATAAGTTCTACTTGAGCAGGGGGCTGGACTAGAAGACCTCCAAGGTCCCTTCCAGATCCTATCCTATCCTTCAAAAAGGGTAGGATCTTTTACTGCAAATAATGGGACACGAATCTGTGGTCAATTCCTTTCCTTTTCCACCACCATCACTTGCACATCACCAGCATCTGGATACTTCCCTTGCTCGAAAATAAATGCCAATGTCATTACCAATTTCATTCAGTCGTCCAAGCCAAAACGTTGATAGACTAGCTAGCAGGCTGATCCTTATATGTTTCCTCAGAAGTAAATTTGAGTTAGGACAAATGGCCAGGTTTATTTAACCCCCAGATAAGCGCACATGAAGGGTCTCCTTCTTTATGCATACTTATTGAATAAATATTTATGTGCCTCTCTTCCAGTAAGATTTTGCAAAACGGTATTAAACGAAGCAAAGTTTGCTTTTGAATTGTGCTGACTAATCTAATGCAACTTTTATTGAACATTTACTTCGACTGTGAGTGTCTGCAAAACTGATTTCCAGTATGATCATTGAGAGCCGCCCTAGACCACAAATAGCCGACAACTTGGGTAAATACTATTGAAATAGACGGGCTATGTTTATGAGGGACCTACGACATTAGGCAAAATGGAACAAAGTGGTAGGAACCATCAACAGGCTTCAGGTTGATCTCGGAGACATTTGAGGGGGAATAAATGCTATTCAATGCAATGCGACTTGCTTCTGAATAATTTTATTCATAGGATCTTGTTGGGAGAATGTGATGATCCAATGGTCACTCACTGAAGACACCAGGGCTTCACTTTGGGATGATATACATACCGAATTGGGGAGCATAAGCCACTGTTATGTAACGTTTTTCCTACTGCTAGTTCCTGCAAGCCCCACGGGAAAGGAGTCGTGTCGTCTGAACAGATGTTGCTCTCTAAAGCCACAAATAGCGCCTTTGTAAGCGTTGAAGCGGCTTTTTAAATGAAATAAATCCAGAGAATGGAACTTACTTCCGAGTAAGCACGGATAACAGTGTTTCACATTGCGCTTAAATACTTCCTGAAGAAATTCGCTTCAATTCTGCCCTCCCCGCTTTTCACCCGGTCTCTTTTTTCCAAAAGCACACGGAAAGTAATTAGTAATTAGCAAAGGACGTAAGACGTTTTTTCCCTGTTGCACAGCGGAACGATTCTTCCCTCGCCAGAGAGCCAGACGGCCGCTTTTAGAGGACGGACACCGTGTTTCTGGAATGAAGGTGGCAGCGGCTCCGGCGGCAAATTTAGTGGAAAGGTTGCCGCCATGGATGACCAGGGTTGCCCCCGGTGCAAGACCACCAAATACAGGAACCCTTCCCTCAAGTTGATGGTCAACGTTTGCGGACACACACTGTAAGTGTCTCTGGCTTGCAGAGGAAGGAGGCTTCGCTGTTAGGGCTTGGAGTCCCGAGTAGAAACAGGATGGGAAAGCCTGTTTCAAAAGCTAAGGTGGCTCTAGAAGTTAAAGTCCTACACTCTGAGCACCTACTTTATTATCTGGACTAGAGATAATGGAGATAGGCTGTAGGGAGAGAAATGCACTTTGCAGGTGTTTAAAGGTGCCCTTGCTTACATGCTAGGAAACCAGGTCCTAAGCCCTAGATGAGGATTTCTGTGCAATAAAAATATTGAAAGTTCTCATGGTATTAAATGTAGTATTGTAATGGTGAGATGTTTGTGTTTTGTTTAAGACCAACCTTGACTATATTCATTTTTATTGGTGTACTGTATGAGATGTAAGTGTAGCTGCATGTTGTAATAATATTTTTACTGTCCTTCTCTTTAATCTCCTCTGAAGAATGTTTGTTTCTTTAGCAAAACACCCACTTTCCAGAGTGCTACTGTTTTTATGTAGGCATCATTTGAAGCCAAAGGAATGTGTGACTGAAGATAGATAGGGGTAGATAATTTCTAATAGGTGGCAAATATTTTTTTGCCTACTGTATTTGAAAGGAGACATTGGTTGTGGAGTCCTTAGTGCTTTCTGAGGTTGGTTGGTTGGTTGCTATTTACAGATATTTAATGATTTGATCAGGTAACATCATCAGTGCTAGTGAGCATGTGGTTTGCTGCCTGTTTATATGCCGTGTTGGTGGAGTTATGTTTTTCTCCTTGGTAGGTCTTTGATTAGGAAAATAGGATATTATACCTGCTTGACTGCTTGTCTTGTATTAATCCTTGCTTTCTGAGTATTGTTGCTGGGGAGGATATGTTTTGATCTTTTTGTTTTCTTTTTAGATTTTTGAATTATCTCTTTTGAATGGCATATAAATGTGGTTTACTTGAAGGATTGCACTTCTTTTTCTGAAATTTGTGTCAAGTCAATGTTTTTTACAATCAAAGATGCCAAATTATAGCATCCAGATACAGTAAATAGTTATCCAACCTCTACTTGAACTCATTCAGTGATAAGCCTTGGATGTTATGTTGTTACATTCTTAAGCCTTTGCTCCCAGTAAGTAACACAGTCCATGACCTGATGAGTTTTATCAGTAAATATTTTTCATTTCCAGATAGTAATGTGTTACAAACTATAATGTCTTTTCACATTCTGATGGAGTGTAATTTCATATTCTCTCCCTTTAAATCTATTTGTCTCCTATGTCCCTCTTTTTTTTTTTACCTCTTAGATTCAGAATTGTTTTATCTGTCAGGGCCTAGAAACTCTTTCTGGGTTCCAGAAGTGCAGAATATCTTCTATGTTTCTTCACTCTGATTTTTACTCTAGAAGAGTTTTATGAATGGAAAAAACCTTTGTTCCTTCTCGGAAGCTAATATAAGGCTGTTCATTGTTCTGTTCCTTTGATTTTTTTTCTGCAAGGACTCTACAGTACTACAAATTTTCATATTTTTGATTATATATGAAAAATTGTTTTCAAGCTGGAGCATAAGCATAAGCATTACAGGTCATAACTGCAGGTTTCTCCTCCATTTATCTCTTTGTTTATTGGGGAAATTACAGTACTAGTAGAAAGTCTTTTTATTCTTGAGCATGGGGAACACACAGAAGAACACAGCTGGAAAGAGTTGATAAGATGCTCAAAAAGAGAACAGGGAGAACCAGGCTGTCAATTTGACTACAGTAATCCAGATGATCACTAGATAGCAAAGAGATATTGCTATTTAGCAGTTGTCCAGATTTATGAAGTCCAGTTTTGTGGAAAGCAAAGTCAGCATACGATTAATTTCATTGATGTAGTGCAACCAAGGATGGTTTGTCAAGTGAGTGGTGTTGTTTTAAGCTAGATTTAGTTAAATTTACTTTTCTCATATTTCCTGCTTTTAACTCTTTTGCTCAGTATTACACACAGTTTTCCAGAGCTATGCATAAATTGCTTATCTTGAAAGAGAGTCATGTGATGGTATGTATGTATCTGCATATCCATAGAGGAAAGAGCTACGGTTGAAGTCATTTAAAAGGCAACCACACTGGCGAAGGTTGAATATAATGAGTGAAACTTTCTGGTAAATAATATGAATGAATGAACCTTTCTGTGTGAGCATTTACAGATTGGATCATAGAGGAAAGATTACTCACATTAAGTGAAAATATATTTTAAAATACAATCAAACATCTCTCCTACTTTTTTATCCTTTTTATTATATTAAAAACAGTGTTGCAATAATTTTCAAAATGTAATTTTGAGCTATTAAGATTTTTCTGTTCTGTATCTCTTTGTTACTAACTTGTGGCGAATCCATATTTTTGAAGCACATAACCTGAATAGTTGGAAATTATTAAACCAGTTAAAAGTTTTTATGATGTTGAATGCGTGCATGTAGGAAGTTATTATTGAAGTGAGATATTCTGCTCTCTACTAAGATTCTAGAGTGATTGCTTTTGCTTTTACTGTATTTATGTAGTGCTATACATAATATTTTAAAAATGCAGCAAGACAGGTTCCTGTCTCGAGTAGGAGTAATAAGAGGAGACCCCACCCCCCCAGAGGAATAAAGTGGTTGACAAGGCTAAATAATTTCAGTTGCTTATGTTTAGGGTTTATTACAAGTTAGAAGACAATAGCTCATTGGTGAGCTAATTGCTCCTAGACCTGGGAAGTTACTCTGCAAAGAGGAATCACAGGTCATTGGTAGACATGCTGTTATATAGAAGGACTCATGTTTGATTTTTTCCTGCTTTTATCTACAGTGTTTCTCATATAATAAGGCCGGGTCTTATTTTTTTTTGAGCCCTGAAAAAATGGCTAGGCTGTCTTTTCGGGGGTGACTTAATTCCCCCCCCCTTGCATCTTCGGGCGGGTGGCGACAGCTTGGATGTTGACCTTGGCGTTGGTGGGGCACTTCGTATCGGGGTCAATGCAGGCAGCACCATATCCGGTGTGCAACAAAAGTACTTCCTGATGGCAACCCCCCCCCACCATTCCCCCCATTTCGCATGTTTTAATATAGGCCTTAATTTGGGGGGAGGGGCTTAATTTCATTTCATGCCTATGAATTAATTTTCATTTTCATTTCATGCTGGGACTTCCTATTGGGGGAGGCCGTATTGTTGGAGAAACAGGGTAAAAGGATCAGGGAGTAAATGATTAGATCTCTGCCTGATTCTTGGACTATTGTTGCCAATAAATAATGCTAGGCTAGATAAAGAAAAAGTAACTTTATCCATCAGGGGCTGCTATGTAGAAACCTGTGAGTTCTGAGCAATCAAGTTTTACTCTTGATTGCTTATTTATTCAGCCAATGTATACTTTTTCAGTCCAACTTCAATATTAAAGATGGCTAAAAAAATCTTCAAATGCAAAGTACAACAAATACAAAAGCGTTTTAAATCCAGTGCTATAAAGACTAACAGGTAAACAGGTCTGCTATTTTAAACACAGAGAAATTGGGAGATTGGGATTAAATGCATCACTGTAGGGATGTCTCTTTTTTGCTTGACAAATTGTATGTGTGTGTCTTCAAAAGGAGCTTTCCTGCAGATATTAATCTTTTCTTGAGTGTAAGCATGCCTGCCATACTTTGAGAAAGAAGAAAAAGTGTACTTCAACTATATCCCTTGAAGATCAAACACCCTGCCAGCAAAAGCAGATACAGCACTATTGTTTTCAGCAAAGCTGTATCAGCTGCAAATGTGATCCAGGGAGAGAGAGGGATGCAGTTTTTATGATGTACAGTTTTAAAAATAGAAAATTGGATTGCTTTTACATCTCCTTTAGCCCTCTATAGCTTCAGATTAGGAAAAGGATTTCACGCTTCAGATTAGGAAAAGGATTTCACACTACAGATATGTCTTAAATGCAGAATACATATTTTTGGCCCACTATAATAGTGCTGCTGCCGGTGGGTACTTTTGCTGAGAGATCATCAAGGCCTGATTTTATTTTGTCTGATGAACTTGAGTGAAATTTTACAGCAGCAACTGATTAGGTTGAGATCTAAATTGGAATTTTTATTTCCAAAAACCCATCTTGGGAGCTTTTTAAACTACAGTATATATATGTGTATGCAACCTTATTAACTCCCCTGGAATCTCTGTAATAGTATATAAATATAGTAGTCCTTGACTTATGACCACAATTGGGACCAGAACTTCTGTCTTAACTTCGTATCAATAAAGGAGAATAGCTCAGGTTGAAAAGAGGGATCTTTGGAGCTCTCTGAGCTTGGTTGTTTTCTTGCAGAGGTTTCATTACCCAAACTAGGTAACATCATCAGTGCTGTGTGTATTCATATCCTTTTGTATTATGGTCATTGTAAAAAAAAACCTAAAATAGAGTAGAATAAAACAGAACAATTATTTATTGGCCAAATGTGATTAGGGTTAGGGTAATAATTGGTTTTCCCTTGTAAGGCTGTGACAGGTCAGGATGGGGTGGTACTCTTCCTTACCTGTTTAGGAGTGAGTCTGTGCAAAAGGCTTATTAGCCTAGCTCCGCCCACTCTGGATGACTCCTCCCCAGTTTATGCTCAGTCCTTAACAGACTAGAATGTGTGTGATTGCCTCTCCTGCCTTTGGAAAATTCCTTCCAAAGGCAGCCTTACTAGAATTTTTGTTTTCTTCTCCTACCTACAAAAAGCCTCCTTTTTGCCTTCCCAGTTTAAATTTGGCACTCTGCTGCACAGCTGATGGGTGGGAGCTGACAAACAGCTGAGGACTGCTCCAGGGATCCGGAGCAACCGGCAGGGTCCGCAGCGGCCATTTCCAGCCCTTTGGGGGCAAAGATCAGGTCAGAAATCGGCCGGATGGCCAGAAAGTGAGAACAGAGGCTTCCACCATTACTGGGAAGCCGCGGAGCCGTTTTTTGGCACTCTGCAGTGAAGAGGAGACGATTTCTCACTGGATGACCATTCTCTTCAGAGCTGTGGGGATTGTACAACCCCACGGTGAAGCA